GGCAATAGAGAGCCACTACAGTATGTAAAAGCACGGCATTACACACTCATCATATCTCACTTCAGCCTTATTCTTCAACAACATTGTTTCTCTTAAAGGGATAGTTCACCCTAAAATGAAAAGTCTATCATAATCAAGTTATTTACCGCAATTATTTTGCTGAATGTCCTGGTTGCTTTTGTCTCTGCATTGAGGTATGGTGACCCAGACTGTCAAGCTCTAAAAAGGACAAAAATATATTAATGCACTATATTTATGCTCCTAAACATGAAAAGGTAACACAGTCTCATCCCAAAAAGTCATATAACTGACGTCTTGGGATGTTTTTTGACCATACGTCAATATCCGCCTTTTTAGGGCCCCCTTAAACGTCGGTAGATGGCGATCCCGGGCCGTCATACAACTGACGCTTTACCTTTAACGTCAGTTAGGTGACGGGTTAGGTTTAGGGTTAAGTTTAGGTCTGGGGTAGAGTTAGGATCCCATAACCTCATCTACCGACGTTTAAGGGGGCCCTAAAAAGGCGAATATTGACGTATGGTCAAAAGACGTCCCAAAACGTCAGTTATATGACGTCTTGGGATGAGACCGGGTTGGAAAAGGATATTATATTTTCCATCTGCTTACTTTCACGTCACAGATCAGGTGTTTGTTTGCCGTAACGGCAAAACATTAACCACCGTAGTATGTTTGTGCCGTTATTGTTATAGATACATTTTTATAACGTTTTTTAAAACTACATTTGTATAGAGGGAATGCATTGACGTCACTTTCCCGCCAGAACAACCCCCCTCAGGCTGACTGAGTGGCAAAAGATCTGCTGCGTGACTGGATTTAATAGGAGAAACTGCGAAAATGCGACTAAAACGAACAATATTATCAATTTAAACTAAATGTTGGACTCAATATAGTGTTCCTTACAACTTACTAAAGATTCAGTGATCCATGGATATTGACATTCAGCCAGGAATCGTGTTGCCTGACATTTATGTTTGCCTGATTTCGACACCGGGGAAATAAAAGCAAAACAGACCTAAACATAAAGCAAATTTGCCTGTGAATGCTTTATATAAATACAATATACCGGTAGGTAGGTCTAAATCCGGATGATCACTTATATCAGTGTTATATATAGCCTATAAATACCATTATATTGTCCAGCCCTAAAACTTTATAGTTTTTTTTTGGTCAGTGTTTATTAAAAAAAAACATCCAATAATGCAGAATATGCAATGATAAATATTTAATTGATGAGTTTTAATATACGTATATAAAAATACAAAATATATGGGTATGGTTTTACAGCTAAATTCAGCATATTGACACAAAATGATAACTGCAAATCCACCTTTCGCTGACTGAAGTCCAGTTGTTTCTGTGAATTGCAGTGATCCATTTGCTCCTCTTTCTATAGCGGTCTGTAAAAATATACCTCCGATTTTTTGTCAAATCTCGTTGTACAGTCAATTGCAAAGCTCTTTCACACTTTATGTTGTGTTTGTTTTTCCCGGCATTCACGCTGAAAACAAATACAGCCGCTCAGTTTTTTTGCCACTCACTCGAGGGTGACGTCACGCGCATGCCCTCTATCGTTATCATTTTGATCCCTGATGTGGACAGGCCTTTACTTCTGTAGGCATTGTATGTTGTTCTCTTCAAAAACGGCATTGATTGTTGACATGCAAAAACATATATGAAATGTAAATATATTTCAATGGAATGAAGGATATAGAATGTAATGCATGTTAGCTTGAATATTGTGCTCAAGAGCTTGATTTATTTAAGTTGAGAACAGTAGTTTCCAACGACTCAAGTTTGCGGTGCTGTTTGCGATTAAAAATATGGTTTCAGGAAATGGTAAATCATTGAACTGCTAATAATGGCGGAACTTGCGACCATAGTTGATGCTTTTGGGAAATGCACCCCAGTATAGTTGCTAGTGACTGGGGCTGTGTTCGTTCAAGTGAAATGGTATTTATGTTTTCGAATATTTAGCTTAAAACCTTCCCATGAACAAAAATGGCAGATTTCAAACGTTCTAGTTTCAGCCTTAGATGTCACGCCCACAGGCTCTTAGCTGAACGTCTGATGCATATGGCACAAAAAAATGGGAAACACTTTTGTCAACTGATTCATTATATTTGTCGCATTCTTTCATGGCCTGCCTGGAAACAAAGCTGTTGTGACAGCAAACACCCCTTCTTTATTGTATTTAACACTGGGACAATGAGTGCTTATCAGGATCACTGGATTTTCAAAAGTATGTGAAGTTATTGTTGCAGTAAACTTGCACAACATTCTTGAATGAATTGTATTTGGAGACCCTCAACGGACATTGTGGTGGGGAAAAAAATATATATATATATTTCACTGCTTTCGTGTTCCCTCGAGAAACTTAGAGTTCGCTTGCAAAGAACTCAAATGTTCCTTGGGGGAATGCAAACCTTGTGCTAGGGAATGCAATCTTTCTCAGGATAACACATTTGAGAGATAATGCAAAAGCATTAACAATTTTTTTAAATTATTACCATGTCCCTTGGGGGTCTCCACAGAATTCGACATCGGCTTGTCAATCAGAAGGCCTCTGGGTGGTCCTTGGCCAATGAAAGGAGCTATGGAGTCCGGCACTCAAGCGAATGCCATTGAGAGGAATAGAAATATCTCCTACTTTTTTGTCTTTTTTAAATCTTCCCAGTTAATGGTCACCATCCTTTTTAAATGAGCGGCCTAAAAATGTGCTAAATAACACATTTTGTGTTCAATGGGAAGCAAAAACCATTGGGGTTTTGATCGACATATTGTAAAGATGAGAGATTTTTTGGTTGAACTATCCCTTTCCTTTAACCATAGGTGTAACGAATCATTACCAAATTCATTGTTTTCCCCATACAACAAATAAGAGTTTACTTGATTTTTTTTAATTGAGCGCAATGTTATTGACAGTTCCATCTGAAATTTCTTCATCACTCGTATTTTTTGTTTTGTTTTTTGCAAGAGCAGGGCAGTACATTCACAATGCTTTCTGTTTAAGATGTTGTAAGGCTGCCAGGTAACGGAAATGGCTAAAAAGCCAGGATTTAGTTGCTGCCTTATAACGCCTTATGAATGTAAGCAACAGTAACGCTAAGAGGATATATGACTGCTAGTGACCTAAGTAAGCAGCCATCTCTGGGATAATTAGGCCTGGAACCCGGATTTATTTTATGCACAGTTAAAATTGTGGCAGTAAAGGGAAAAATAACTGCAAATGTTGTATTTACAAGTGTAAGGTTGCTGTTGGGTTATGTGTAGTCCAGAATTAAGGTAATTAGAAATAAAAGCCAACTTAGAATTTGTTGCCAACCCTGACCCAACACCCAATTGTTAAATTCACCAATTCATCATAGAGACCTCTGTCTATTGTACATCCGGGTTTCTGTTCTCGAAGGTGACAAGGCAAATGGGCACATCTTTGTGCAAATGCTGGACTGAAAAGTGTGATATACAAAAAACATGACCGTCTAACCTAAAATAAATCTATTTCTTTTCAACAAACCAGTGACCATAAATATGATTTTCCGAAATGCATTGAGACACTGTTAAACCTCCCTTTAAAAAAGTCCACAGGTGGTTTATAGTGCTGTGCAGAAAGGAGAGGAGAGGGGCTTCTACATTTTAGAGTATAAAGCAGCACCATTTACAGTAATATTATTAAAGTTTCTTTTGCACCTTTATATGTCACAGACAACCTTGAGGGTGAATGTTAAAGAAGATTGGTGTTGTAAATACTTCTCTGTAAATGTTTTTGTGTAGAACCGGTGGTCAGTTAATGAAAGTCAAGCTGTTACTTTATGACTGAATGATACCAAGGCCTTTTTTGGGCTGAATGAACTTTAAACCTTAGTCATTGAATAAAATGATTTTAAAAAAAATCTCTTGACAGTGCAGTTTAGTCCAGAACAAGTTTAAATCTGTTAATCCTGAAGCTAAACCTAAATGGAAGTCTAGAAGCAATACCTTCATGCAAATTTCCAAATGCGATAACATTACGAGGATCAAAATCAACATTTCCGTTGGAAATACAAATAAGAAGTAAAACTGCTGCGTACATCTTTTCAAGTAGTAGAAACTTTATAATTTAGTTCGCAAACTAATCTTAATTTTGCTTACTTAAATCTAAACGCCACATAAAGTCAAGTTTAGAGCCATTTTTATGTTCGATTGTGGGAATAATGTTGTTGAAGTGACTATGCTGTGACATTAGTTTTGTGCCAGTGCTATAGAATACATATTCTGAAAGGAGTGTTAACTGTGCCTATGCTGAGGGCTACACTAGACTTTGTTCAGACAGGTAGCAAAAATCCGATTTTTCTTGGAATCCGATAACTACAGTACATCCAAATGGGGTCTGAAATCAGATTAACATATTTTGCAATGCACTTGAAGAGTCAGATTACATTTCAAGTACTTTTTTCATCATTCCTGCAGTGTTTCATACTGTGTACTTTTTTCTTTTTTCCAATATAATGAATCCATTGATGGCGCCCCTAATGGGACATTAGATGGAAAATTAGATTTCAATGCATTCGTAAAAATGTTGCGTTCACCTACATATGCATTGAAATACAGTTTCCTTTTCAAAGTGGAACTCAGCATTGCATCGTAGATTGAAGCTATAGGGAATGCTATCAGTGTCCATTGCAGCCCGTTCTCATCCCAAGACGTCATATAACATTTTGACCATACGTCAACATCCAACGTTTTAGGGTACCCTTTAACGTCAGTTAGATGACGCTATCTAATCCAACCCCTACCCCAGACCTAAACCTACCCGCGTCATCTAACTGACGCTAAAGGTAAAGCATCAGTTATATGACACTCTAGGATCGTCATCTAACTGACATTAAAGGGTACCCTAAAACGTTGGATGTTGACATGGTCAAAACGTCAGTTATATGACACCCTAGGATCGTCATCTAACTGACATTAAAGGGTACCCTAAAACGTTGGATGTTGATGTATGGTCAAAAGCGTCAGTTAGATGACGTCTTGGGATGAGAATGTGTTGTCCAACAACATTCCATGACGGCACTAGCAAAGCGCCAGCAAGTATAAGAGGGTACCTGTAATACACGTCATCAGCTTTTTTTGTCTTCAGGAGCTGCTTGTGTAAGATTAACGCTGGATGTGCTCATTGTCTTACATTCATAGTAATCTCCGTTCTTGCTTTATTCTCTCCTGAGGGATAACAATATAACGTTAGCATGGAGTGTGTTTGGCTAGAGGGAATAGGCTGCACTTATGGTAAGAAACTCTGTTATTGTTTGAGTCTCTCTAAACCATATAAGAGTCTAGTGTGTGTTCAGATCTTGAGGGAATGTGATGCATTCGCCTTAAAAAGCTCCACCCTGGCTTGACTCTTGAAAGATTAGTCTCGAATTTGATAATGTGGCAGGTCTATTTCTTAGACCTGGATTAGATGCAGAAAGAGTTGAGGTAAGTGTTATTAAGATAATAATAATATCTGCTTCCTCCGCTGCTATCTGCTTCCTCCATATTGAGGTAAGGAAGGAATTTATAATAATGGTATTCTAGGATGCACAAGTTGAAGGGCTGCTTAAGAGCTATAGCTCTCTTGGTGTTGCATCCTCTGTGAAGGCTCCCACCTTGCCAAAAGAGCGAGTGTGTTCAGCTCTCGAGGGGGCGGAATTTGCTCTCTGTTATGAGCCGCTTTGAGGGAGCTCCCCCTCACGGTTGAGGCCCCAAGTCTGCTGAAGTAGCAAAATGGCAGCTTCGATCGTGGGCTTGTATGTGGGCAGAGTAGAGGCAGATAGTGTAAATAACCTCTGCTGCTGACCACCTTGCGGCTCTTGGCAAGGCATATGCGAAGACAAGACAGACCTGGGAGGCACTGCACACCATGAAAGAAAAGATGTTGCAAGTCCTCCATGCCTGCCTTTTTGTGGCAGAGTGCTCCTGAAACAGGAATGGACCAGGTGTGGTTAAAAGAAAAACAGGAATCGGAAACCGCTCTTTCTGTCGCTCGTTTTTTAGTGTACGCTAAGTAGTGCTTGGTTACTTATGTATCCAGGTAGGTTTTTGGCAAGATATTTTCACCTGGCCCCCAGGGTGAGACTGGTTAATTGTCTCTGGAAGACATCTCTCTCTCTCTCAAAGCTGTGCTATATTTTCTCCTATTTTATTGTCTAAAGTAGAATTATGCTCCACTGTGAATGGGTTTCTTAACAAGTACCCCTCTTAAGGGTTGATGCAGGGCAAACTGGGTTATTTAGGGCAGAATAGATTTCCTACTTTTCCCTTCTACTCTACAACTATGGTTGGGTGTTGAAGTAGGAATTTATGATCCCTTTTTTGGATGGTTGCTTCATAGGCCTCACTAGTATGGCCCATGTTCAATTCTATGACTGGTCTTAGGAGAAGTGCCTTAATTCAAGGGTTGAGCTGCTCTCCCCCAGTGTCATTTTTATTTATTTTGAAAGTAGACCATCAGCTCCTCTGCAGCCTCCTTGGGTTTAGATAATGGTGGATTAGTAGACATTAATCTACTAATCCTTCCGGTTTGTAGACATTTTACATGAACCACTGAGCCACTGCCACCCCACTGCTGACCACTAGACAGTCTATGTTGTCTTTTTAGAGTCTTTTTGGATGGGTCCCTAATTGATGCTCTGACTAAGTAATCCATTGAGTCAACTTATGCTATGCCTAATATGTTTGTCCATATTCACAGCTTAATGAGGCAGGCATTCCTTCAGCATGGCGTAGTGGGTATTTGTTCCACTCCCTATTGGCAAATTGCATCCTGCCTTTCTCTTGTCTGGGACATATCTTCCCATTGGATGTCCCTAAGAATTGATGCAAGGCCAATGGAGTTATATAGGGCTGTATAGTTTCCCTCTATTTGTTTACCTCCCTTCCCAACTACTGTTGGGTCTTGAAGTTGGGATATAGCTCTGATTTGGAAGGCTCTACCAATTCCAATTTTTTTTGGAATGTATGGCCTCCCTCTTGTTGTTGCTTAAAGGGTCTCTTTGCTCCCATTTGGTGGGTTTCACAAGCAGGGTGTGAGCACACTCCCAAATTATTCCAGCGTATTTAAGTAGAGCTGGAGCTCCCCTGCAATTGTCCTAGGGGTTGAGTTTCATGGCGAGAATCTTAAAATATATTTGGCCAATCATATAGCATCCCTTCTGATGAAAATTTGGGTTGCATTCTGGCCCTGGAAGTAGCGGTAATTTCCAAGATCGTTGTTGAAAATATTCTCCCTTTGGCAGATACTCCCTACGGCCTGTGTCAAGGCTAAATAAACTGACATAGCTGAGCCATTTATTCCTTTTATTCCTCTTGGGGACTCATAAGGCTGATGTTTGACCCACGAGGGAGGAAGGAAGGTTGCAATTGCCGGGGCTTCCTTTGTTAAGCTTGAATATCTTTTATTATTGGAAGATAGAGTATTAGGGAGTTGTAAATGGTAAATGGACTGCATTTATATAGCGCTTTCATAGACCTAATGGCCACCAAAGCGCTTTACATTTTTGCCTCACATTCACCCACTCATACACCGACGGCGGTGTCAGCCAAACAAGGCGCCAGCCAGCTCGTCAGGAGCAGGACACCTGTCTTGCTCATGGACACCTCAACACTTGGTCAGGTGGAACCAGGGATTGAACCACCAAACCTTCCGGTTTGTAGACATTCTACATGAACCACTGAGCCACTGCCACCCCACTGCTGACCACTAGACAGTCTATGTTGTCTTTTTAGAGTCTTTTTGGATGGGCCCCTAATTGATGCTCCGACTAAGTAATCCATTGCGTCAACTTATGCTATGCCTAATATGTTTGTCCATATTCACAGCTTAATGAGGCAGGCATTCCTTCAGCATGGCGTAGTGGGTATTTGTTCCCCATAGCGGCAATCGAAGAAGCAGTGTTGACTTTCAATTTCGAAAGGGAACGTCTCAGGTGACAATTGTAACCATGGTTCCCTGAGAAAGGGAATTAGACACTGCATCCCGTTGCCATCCCTTGGGTCTGCCTGTGCGTCTACTTCAAACAAAAGAGTTGATGACGTGTATTACAGGCACTTATGGGCTTATACTTATGGGCATGTAAATGTTTTGATCCACTTCAAATGGTGACTACTGTATTTCCAACACAAAAGTTTTGCAAGTGAATGCATCGCTTCTCAGGGAAAATCAAAAGGTTTGTGAGAGAACGGGATGCAACAGAACATAAAAGCATTTAAATATAATTTTTCCTCCTATAATTTATTTTTCCATAACCATGTGTATTTAGGGGCTTCATTAAATTCACTATGTAGTGAATAGTGAGTAAGTGAACATGTCAGTGGTTTTGGACTCAGTATGTCCATAAATGCGAATATATAAGAATTGTCAAATTGTGTCCTAAACATCAGATGTGGAAACCAAAATGGATTTGTGCGCAGTGTGAACAAAGCCTTGGTTTTGTCCTCTGACATACTACAATGAAATCCAAACTGGGTTGCAGTAGCTGCGGGTTTTGGAGGGCATAGACTGCCATGACCTTTTTGCATTGAGCTCTGTTTGAGGCATATATAAACTCACCACTATTCTCAGCTCAGAGTAGATGATGAGCAGAGGAAGAATACGTGTAACAAATGTGACAATGTGTAAGGGTGGAGGACTGACATGGAGCAGAATGATGTACCCTGTTGGTGAAGCGCATTGGTGAGGCATAGCATATGTGTGTTTCATAAACGGGTTTGGGCTTCAGGGATGTAGATCTCTATGCTGTCGGCCCGCTCTGTAGCTGAGTTCTGACGGAAAGATGCAGCCCGTTTAGCAGCCAATAGCCTGCGGCGGGCCTCTTGCCTCTGTCGGTCCTGCAGATCCAAGGAGCGGTCACGCATAACTGCTCCACGACCTTTAGGAGGCCTCTTTGTAACAGGAGGTGGCCATTTTCTTTCCTGTAGAAAAGACGTAGGGTTCAATACCATTTTATTTGACTATCTAGTCAATAGTATGTCTAGCCTACTAGTCTGAATATTTCACAATCTGCTCAGTTACTGGGATTTTCACACACAAAGATTTCTAGGGTTTACAAAGAATGGTGTGAAAAGGAAAAAACATCCAATATACGGCAGTCTTGTGGGAGAAAATGCCTTGTTGATGCTAGAGGTCAGAGGAGAATTGGCCGACCGATTCAAGCTGATAGAAAAGCAACTTTGACTGAAATAACCACTTGTATGCACTTGTATAACCACCAAGGTATGCAGGCAAAGCATTTGTGAAGCCACAACACGCACAACCTTGAGGCTGATGGGCTACAACAGCAAAAGACCCCACCGGGTACCACTCATCTCCACTACAAATAGGAAAAAGAGGCTACAATTTGCAAGAGCTCACCAAAATTGGACACTTGAAGACTGGAAAAATGTTTCCTGGTCTGATGAGTCTCAATTTTTGAGACGTTCAGATGGTAGAGTCAGAATTTGGCGAAAACAGAATGAGAACATGGATCCATCATGCTTTGTTACCACTGTGCAGGCTGGTGGTGGTGGTGTAATGGTGTGGGGGATGTTTTCTTGGCACACTTTAGGTCCCTTAGTGCAAATTGGGAATCATTTAAATGCCACGGCCTACCTGAGCATTGTTTCTGACCATGTCCATCCCTTTATAGCCACCATGTACCCATCCTCTGATGGCTACTTCTAGCAGGATAATCATTTCAAATTGGTTTCTTGAACATGACAATGAGTTCACTGTAATAAAATGGCCCCCACAGTCACCAGATCTCAACCCAATAGAGCATCTTTGGGATGTGGTGGAACGGGAGCTTCGTGCCCTGGATGTGCATCCCACAAATTAATGCACACATTCATACATTTTGCTCTTATACAGCCTATATTTTGTGTACACGTACAGTATATATTTATATGTATGTGAAAGGAGAATTTAAACCATATGAGAGTAGAAATATATGTATGTGAAAGGAGAATTTAAGTGTGTGAGAGTGCCAGAATGAATCATGGCTTGTACGGCACTTAAAAAATACCTTCTTCTCCGGACTCTCCACTATCCTCCACTCGTTGCTCTTGATTTGCTGCAGCTCATCAAACTTGGCAGTGACATCATCGATGGAGAGCTGCAGGAGATCCCAAAACCCAGCCAGGTCCTGAGCCGTGGGGCGGGGCATAGCGCTGGGGTCCTGCACAAAACCAGAAACAGACCAATTATATTTCACACACTGACAAACCCAAACGCAATCAACAGTAATAAGTAACACTTCAGCTCAAACCCCATACATAATCTCTCATTTATGTTTTTTTTTCATTATTATAATAAATGAAAAAAAAAAAAAACAGGGATCACAACAATGCATTTTTTGATTTGATAATAGTTGAAATTCTTATGGTTTTTAATCTCATATGCTGCCCATTAAGTGATGATCGATTTGAAAATTTTTAAGTTTGTCTTGAGTACTGTGAGAAGTGAATCTGCCCACTGTTCTTGACAAAAATCCTCAGGGTACACTAAGCTCTTTTGTGTCTCAGAATGCTCTGAGCGTTCGAGCTCTTCCTCACAGTGGCGCAGTGATATCGAGATCAAGTCAGGACAATTGAGGGACTCATACACTTATCAATTATCAGAAAAGGCTATGAGCAGGAGGTGGTTCTGATAATGTATACACAGCATAATTTGGTTAATTTCAGTTATTATTTTGGCTGGTGTTCTGGAGAGTTCTTCGAGGTCATAGAAAATAGAAAAATAGTAAAACCTTAAGGGAAAGGGGTGTAAACTTATGACCCCTTGAGCAATCAAACTAAATAAGGATCCTGATCCCTATCTACGCATCACTGCACCAAGTGGCGTGAATGAATAAATTACCATTAATAATCACTAGAGGTCGCTGTCGGCGAGCATCTCTCATCCAAACTGAATATTTGACCATGTCAGGTAGACTTTTGACATTAACATTAAAAGAGCACAAAAAAATGAATGATGGATGTGTATAACTGACAGTGCTATGTATATACACAGAGTAAATATAATTATTTTCTGTAAAATCAATGATCAATTGCACTATTTCTCAGTTATCAACGTATATTTATTCTGCCAACATCCTCTCTTTTTGTTTTATAATACTAAGCTAAACCGTTCAGTCTCTTGGATGCTACTAGGGAGGACAAGCTGGTCTCAGCCTGTCCATGTGAATATATTGCAACATCCATCATTTCACAATCTCCAGAGAGAAAGAGAGAAAGCGAGAGACAAAAACAATCACTGACCACTAAACAAACCCTTTAAAATGTCATTCAACCCACCAACTACCAATTAACGTCAGGATCTTTTACTCTAACGCATCTTGAAAAGGGTTAAAGCTTCTTTCAGGCTAAAATTACATTTAGAGGAGTTGACACTGCAACTAATCAATTTGTAATTCTGTCAACTATCTTCGAAAACAATTTTAAACAGTATTTTGTATTGTTTATCAGTACAATATGAATCATAAAAATCATTTACTTAATAAGCAAAAATGTACAAGATATTATACGTCAGAATTCTGAAATATTAGATATTTTTATTTAGTTTTAGTACAGTTAACAACCAAAATACATGAGGGAAAATTACTTACAATAATGTATTGCACTATTTTGCTTCTTAAAGATTTTAGAAAACAATTTAAAACAGTATTTTGCCTTGTTTAGTAGTAAAAAAAATACTACTAATAATATACATCAGAATTCTAAAATAAAACATTTTGATGTGGGATTTTTTAATTTTTTTTTTGAGAGTTTTACAGTTAACTTGAAAAATGACTTAACAGAATGCATAATGCTATCTTGCACAATTTTGCTTTTTTACTTTTCACATTTTTAAGGATCTTTATTGATATTTATTTAATTTGTGTTAAAGCAGGAAAATTGTTCATGTAATTAATAAATGCAAAACACTCTCACCAATACTTTTTGATTAACTACCTGTCAAAGTATAATCGTGAATCTTTCATGACAGAACTGGTGCATGGCTGATGCATTTTATGATGCAAAGGGAGCATTAATGTATATCTCATGGGGATCTTAGAAATGCCACATACCAGATTTTGCTGACACAACCAGTAAAACTGCTGGAATTTCTGGGACATGAGGAGGTGAGCGCTGCCCACAGCACTCCGGATCTTTCCAAGAACTGCAAGACATATTGAGAAAAATTGAGAAATAAAACGATTGGTTATGCAATTTATATATGCACACATTTTGTCTAAATTGTCAAAGGGTTGTGACGATTTTTACATATGCACAGTACAATTATTTTTTATACTCTACCAGACATCAGAGGGCAGCACTGAGTCGTGTAATTTACAGGACGTTCGCTCAGAAGGACAGATGACGATAAGTAGAAGATCTGGCATTGCATGCAAAGTTTAGAACAAGAACCAAAGCAAAACGATGGAGAAGGATATGGTGCTTTGGTGACAGTTCTTGGAGGAAGGAAGCGCCAGATATGGTCTTATTAGTGGGAAATATGAGGGTCTGTGGCTGTACCATTAGAAATGACCTAAAATTGGATCACATGTGCCTTGATAACCAATCACATCACAGCCTTGCTGTCATTGAATTTTATTCAGGGTTGTGTGACAGTCAATTGTGGATTCCATAGAAATCAATGAGAAGTTCCGTAAACTGAATCATACCTGTTGTACAATTGCCTGTGAATTTATTATTTTTTTTTTTTTGGTGTAAACTCTAAAAATAATCAATCCAAAACAAAAGTTTAAGAGCAAACATGTTGAAGATAGCCGATGGGATTCATGAAATTATGAGCCACTTTCTCACAAAAGCGGTATTTTCAGCGGTTTAGTGAAGCCTCTCCTCCATTGACATACTTAAAAAAAATGGCCTAAAAAACTTTCCTTCCCTGCGTAACCCAGTGTTAGAAGGTGTTTTTTTGACTAAGGTTGCAGGTTACGGATTTTTCTACACATTTCTTCGACTACTGCACAGTTTATCACAACTCAGTGGGCTTTTCCGTCTCGATGGTCACCTTGCAGATACACCTATACACAAATCCGCCACAAACTCTATGGGCGCCGCCATCTTGCCTGCCGTCATTACTGCGTGCCTGCTAAGGGTGACGGTGTGACACTTGCCGGTACCCTCTAATGACATTTCAATGAAAACGGACCCTGCTCATGAAAGAAAACGTCTGGTGAAAGCAAGGGAACATTGGGTAGATGATGTCAGGTAGTGGCCAAAACTTACCGATAATGGTAAATTATTGACAACATAATGTATTCATGTAAAAATGGGACAGCCGAATGTAATGTAATGTAATTAAGATGTGTATAAATTGATGACAACAATAAAACCAAACGCTGTCATTATAGCTGTGTTGCTAATATGTTCACAAGCTTCACAAGTTGCAAATAAAAATAACTTCCTCTACCATTGTTTTTAATAATAATATACCCCGCAATGATACTATTTAGAATCATGCGTGTTCTGCGCGAATGAATGCTGCAGTTGACGCGTACTTTCATTTAACACACACATACAGTACACGCTGATATCGAAGGCCAAGAGTGCCAAAAACACACACATTATTATGGAACGCTTAAAATATGGAACGCTAAAAGGTTCACAATGAGCCGCTTTCCTACCACGTTTTGTTAAAAAAGCATTGTTTAAACGGCCAGGACGGCAAAAAGCGAAACGCCGTGTGTAAACTACGGCATATTTTTCGCCGGTCGGTATTTAAACGCTATATGCTCACGTAACGCCACTTTTTATGGGGCACAGTGTCCCCAATGACGCGTTTCATAACATGTCACAAGACGTGTAGTATTAAATGATAATGATCACCACCCCGGCTTTTCCAAAGCCAGTCAATTTGAACTGTCTGAGGAGTGCATGCTTTTGAAGCTGTAAAGGGTCTGTTGTGTTGTGCTCCAGTGTTATCTGCACCAAATTATTCACGTTCTTTTAAACTTGATGTTGATGCTAATGCTACCGGAGCCTGAGCAGTATACTCTTGCAGGATGATATTCACGTTGAGCATCCTGTAGCCTACTTCTCAAAAAAGTTCTTGCCATATCAGTTACAATACAGTACGACTGAAAAAGAAGCACTTGCTTTATTACTGGCGTTACAACATTTCAAAGTGTATTTGGGATCAATTTCTATTACCATACTCGTCTTTACTGATCACAATCCACGCGTATTTTTGTCTTGAAAGCACAATGCAATTCAACGAATTATGCGCTGGTACTTGTTTATTCAAGATTTTAATCTTGAGATTCCTATAAAAAGAGTAATCTCATACAGACGCCTTATCTCATTCTTTTAGTTTTGTTTAAGGGGGTGATGAACTGAGAAATCAAATTTTCCTTGAGCTTTTGACATTTAAGAGGTCTTCATATTATAAGAATATCCTGTAAGTTTCAGAAATGAAAACGTCCTTGTTAGTCCAATAAAAGCTTTTATTGACTCCAGGCGCAGCAAACGAATCGTTTCTCAAAGTGGGGAACTATGACGTCAAAGAGGATAAAACACCACCCCCGCAGAAGAAGATCAACGTCTACTTCAACACGGCCGGTTTAGCCCCGCCCACCGATTCGCACATTACATGCATAGCTAAATAACGTAGATGCCTACCTCGTGATTACAAACCGGATCGAGCTAACAAGCAATACAAAATATCGTGCAGTGCCTGGTTGTGGTAGAAGAGAGTCACTGCATAAGCTTCCTCTGGATTCCAATAGGACTGAATCGATAGACTTTATTTTTAATGACTTTCCGTCTGTTCGCTTTATTTCACTGAGGATTGTTTTGTAGGATTTCGCAGAGGATTACTGCGCTAGCTACCGGAAAAGGAAAGGGGTCTTTTTACATTTGGTTGTAGTCTTTTCGCTTGGTTCTCCGTCTTGCCCATAGGTCTTGCCATATTCGACTGTGTCTGTGACTTTTTCTACGGTGCGCTAGACACCGTGTTCTGTACAGCGTCCTGGTTGTCGCCATCAAGTGGTCGGGAGTGTGCTAACGCTTCAGACTCAAATATCGAGCGGAAGTTTATACGCGGTTGTGAGGTATCTGAAAAAATAGTTCCACTATAGCAAACAACACGGATTGAAAGCATACACTGCGCCGATATATTATATTATATACCACCAACCACTCGGTGAGTTGCACAGTTTTGAAAATGAACGTTAAGGGTTGTTTTAAGAACATGTTTGTGCATGCCCAGAGACAGCCAGTCTAAAGCTCTCACAGGCGATTCTAGAATAGTCAAAAAGTCGAGACAGGACCCATTGTCAAAATTTCTAAGTCCACCACTCTATTTCATTCAAAACAATCTACAAAATAGACTCAAGGTGTAAAATACCGGAATTATCCTTTAAATACTTAAATAAATCTATATACTTTTGTGGAACTAAGTTGTGTTTTTGGTGATCTGTCAGCTGGGGCTGGTTTCCTTTTAACAACGAAAGTTCACGCCCATTCAATTATCACGATAACAGCCACCTACGGGATCAACACTAACTTACTTCCAATACTTTCTTAGCAGCAAGTTTCGCCGGATTTGTGTATACCTCCGTCAAACACGGACGGCGGAGGTAATCTTTGGGTTTAAGTAGATCTAACGAAAATGAAGAAATGAGACTCATACGAATTAGCCACCAATTGACCAAAACTAGCAAAATAGTTATGAACTGCCATGAGATTGTGTTGCTTTATCTGTTTCGTGGATGTCCTGCACACTCACTTTCCTCCGACAAGTCATGCTCCTCCGCCTCGCGCTCCATGTCTTTGCACCATCCCTCCAAGCGTTTGGTCTCGCTGTGCAGAAGCTGCATGAACCAGCTGCCATCGCGGCGGTGCGGCGACACGCGTCCGGATTCGGCTGTTTCATGAGCGGGTTCGACCAGCCAGGGTTCGGGCTGTGGGCTGGATGGCCCGCTGGAGGGCCTGTAGTCCTCACGGTAGCTGAAGAGGCCCTGTGTGCGTACGGTCCGAACCGCGTTGTATTGTGTGGGCGTACTGGGTTCAGAATGCCGCTGAAATCCTCCAAACTGCAGACTCTTGTCTTCGGTCGATGGAAACCCCTCCAGCTCCAAATCAGCCTGAACTGCCGTCGTCACACTGTTGGACCGCTTAAAGCGCCCAATTCTGAAAGTGCACACACTTTGTAAGGATGACAATACAGTATTAACAGCCGTTTGTGTAGGCTACTTACACCCAATCTATATTTATTTACCTATTCATTATCTTAATTTATTTTCTGAGCTACTGGCTCAGGGATCCCTAAAAGGGATCATTAATTCAGAATAACCTCTAATTCTGCGGATCAAATGTCCTGTTTATGACTGATCAGTAGACTTACTTCCTCTCATCCTCTACTTGGATACCCACGGACTGATACTGCGGGAGACCTTTACTATCTGTCTCAGAATCTGTGGCCGCTTCCACCTGAAAAATGAATAAGCAAAGGAAAAGATAAAAAAGAAGCACATATGAGAATATATATACAAATGCTACTGGGTATCTGAGGTGAACCAGAAAAAACAGAATATAGCTGCAAGCTGCATCACTAAGATCATGTACACTGCTTTAAGCATGATCCACTGAAATAAACCACATAAAGCATGTTTTTAAGACAATTATTGTTTTAACGATAATGAATTATGACAAGTAATTCCCTGCCCCCTTCCATGTGTCCTCATGTTGTGTTTTAATTCAATTTGCCAAAGCATTGTCAATATACAGTTTCACTTCCAATTTTGGATTTAAAGTCCCCATCATCAGCAGCCATTGATTTATTTTTTCCAACAATTTGCTGGAGATTTCCATGGTAACATCAGGGCATGATTTACAACTACACATACTAGTTTACGTTTCAATAGAGTTGAATCGAATGCTAAAAATATATATATTTTTATAGGACAATGTGGAAGTTAGCATCAACCTGTCTCCCTTGAATAAAAAAAACAATATATGATTTCTTCAATGGCTTTTGAATTATTGAAGAAAATAAGTTCTGGGACAAACTTTATTATTCTAACACATTTTCCTCGACAAGATAGTGTTCACAGCTTTAATGAATTTTGAAAACTAAAAGCTAAACGTAAGTAACGAACCACGCCACAGTCGCATTACTTCAATGTCACCATCGTTGAGCTTCCAACAACTCTTTTAGTTTATTTAAAAAACATTTTCCCTGAAATATTTACACAATGAGGGAGTAAATGCAGACTAGAGAGAAGACGAGTTTCTCTGTTTGCCGTGATGATGTTTAATGTCCAAGAGAAACCTACAGTATGTAGTCAATTTTACTGTGGCAACCTGTTAGCAACAACCTTTTCAAAACACATAAAAGCTTTTAAAATCAACCTATTTAAAGTATTTAACCAACAAACAATAAAAATTCCACTGGTTTTGGGACGAAAGTGCAAAAATACGAACTAATTTCCAGGTGTTAAGCTCATTCCTGCCGCACTCTATACCCAATCCACTGGTAAAATACAGTACTTTACAATAAAATCTAAAATGGCTGACAAGAAACATGGCCAATGTTTGAACACCTTGGAATATCATTCTGTGTACCATTCACAATGTTCTGAACTTTACTCCAAATAACAACTGTCTCTCACCAACTGTTTTGTTAAATCAAAAATCTTTGCAAACTTTTGATCAATATGGTCTAGATTAGTTAACTTGTAACACATTTGAAAAAGATCAAATGAATAGGTTTGAATTCAATTTAAAAAAAAAAAAAACTTTTGCTGATAAGTTACTCACCCCCATGTCATCTAAGATGTCCATGTCATTCTTTCTTCAGTCGAAAACAAATTCATTTAAAAAACGATCGCTCATTTTAAAAATAAATAACACATTTTAAGTTTTATAAGCTCAAATGGTCGCCTTGCTCTGTTCTGTGTGACGAACTCGTTCATCCAAACGAACAAATCTTTTTCCTAGTCAATTCGTTCATTTCATTCGTTGAATAAACCAAATGACTCGAAAAAAGATTTGTTCATTTTGATGAACGAGTTCGAACAGGAGAGTCACGAACATACATCACAGAACAGAGGAAGGTGACCATTTGAGCTTATAAAACTTAAACTTTGTTATTTATTTATTAAATGAGCATCGTTTTGCTTGATAAGACCCTTATTCATCGCCTGGAATCGTTAAAAGCCCTTTGAACAGTTTGCACTGAAACCGTTTGGTTCCCATTGAAGTTTATTATATAGAGAACAATCCTGGAATGTTTTCATCAAAAACCTTAATTTCTTTTCGACTAAAGAAAGAATGACATGGACATCTTGGATAACATGGGGGTGAGTAATTTATCAGCAAAAGTGATTTTTTTAAAGTGAACTACTCCTTTAAGTGTTAAACAATATAGTTCTAGGAATTGCCATAGATTCTTAGTCAGTCAGAACGGTAAGTACAAAACCAACAGATAATAGTTTCGCACCTTCAGTGAGTAATAATGAAAGTGTCAAGGCAATACTTACAACATAACACAATACTGATATATACAATATCCTGTGGGTGGCATGAACACATTAGCACAGACCCAGATGAGAAAACAACAGCTTAGAGGCACAGATATGAGATTTCCCAGCTGTCATTTTACAAACAATTTGTTATTATCACAAGCAATTTATAGCACATTTACTATAAAGGCAGCTCCTAAAGCAGCCTGACCAAGAGCCCAAATGGAATCGGGGATTCAGGTAACCAGTCACGGTTCATTAATATTCACAGTACTATCTTAGATAGACTGCAACCAATCATTGGAGACATGGTTTATTGTTTAGTAAAAGTCTTTCATATACTCTATCACCTTCCTCTGAGTGTATATATCCCTTTTGCTGGTTATTAGTTCGGAGGGTGACAGCTAGTTTCAGCATCCAGAGTAATGAATTGCTGAGAATTGCACTATGAACATACAGAGATGTATTTTAAACGAGTATAGCGTCTTCTAGAGGTTTATGACTGTCTTGTGCTTCAGCTAGTGCTGTAAACATAGAAGTCTTCTCTAGTCTCATGGTAAAAATCATCTAAAGTCACTAACATGCATCTATAAATGTCAAATTAGTTCTCATCCCAAGGCGTCTGTCATTGCAACTGTTTGGAATGTGATTGTTTAATACATTTATCTTCTTGTATCTTATCTTTTTTGGTAACACTTTAGAATACGGATACTTCGTTAATGAATAACTACACAAGAACCAATGAGTAACACAATATTAACAATCCAGTAACTATTATTAACTAACAACAAACTCTGATTAACGAACTAGTAAGTAATAGCGCACAGACGAAAGTGTTAATTCGCTATTAACTAATCAATAACTACTATTTTTTAATACTTCCCAGAGAACTACTGAAAAAGTTTATTAACAATCTAGTAACTATTATTAACTAAAAAGAAAGTAAAGTGCACAGATGAAAGTGTTACTAGATACTTCTGTGGGAATTACTAATTATTTGGATTCGTATTATAAAGTGAAGATCATCGGAACTAACTAGTAATGATGACTCAATTGTTACTACATGATCTAGTCATGATTTGTGCAATCAAATACAAAAGTCATTTCGAGCGTTTGAGATTTTTGGTGAACTTTAGTATACTTTTAGAAAATTTCTTTAGTAACACTTGAGTCAATACTAGTTAGTTCCAATGGTCCTTCACTTTATAATACGGATCCAAATGATAAGTAATTTCCCACAGAAATATGTATAACACTTTCATCTGCTCACTATTTTTTATTTTAGGTAATAGTAGTTACTAAGATTGTTAATAAACTTTTTCAGTAGTTT